CTATATATATATATAGATATGTGCGCACATTATATATATATATATATATATATATATATATATATATACCAGTAAAGGGACATTCATACCAAGGACAGTGCTACAGATTTCCACTTTGACGAAAGAGCATTCCAATGTTTGCTTTGACAATATCGCTCTCGGAAGCCCTCATAAGGTCTCGATGTTAAGGATATGAGGAACAGTTTCTCTTTTTTGGTAGAAAGGAACCAAGGTGCCTATGTAGGTCAAATCTAAATATAATCCCGGCAAAATATATGACTCACCATATGCGTTCACGCTGTTGTTTGATCTGCGTTTGCAGGTTTTGATAATTCTCCATATCCACGTAAATACCTGTCTTGGTGCGAGCGGCCTCTAGGTCGCGGCGTAAGCGTTCCAATTCTTCATTATAACTCCTCACAAGATCTGTCTTGTTCAGACGCACATTGACCTCTGGACGATTTTCAATGTTTTTCGCCCGATGTGCATAGTCCAGCGTGGACAAAGTTTCATCCAGGCACAGGGAGCTAGGGCTGATTGTGGCGATGATCGACGTCTTCGTTTTCCCACCCAAGGAGTCCTACAAAGAGTATGCGAACATGAGTAGAACAGAGAATATTGGTGGATCGAGTGTACTTACTGGCAAACGAATCAGCCGGAATAGCAAGGGGATGGTGTCCAACGAACCGGTCAAATGGGAAGGGTGTCATGACGCAAAAAAACAAAACGAAGAGATGGACAACAAAACTTGATATCTTATCAAAGACATGAATATCATTAAAACCCAAACAAGTTCAGACTTTAAAAGGAAACCCATGTCTCCAGCTACCTATGAACTTTTGAGGAAAATGTCCCCACGACATCCCTCTGTATCCGTCATCTGTGATCTAAAGTGGGTTTCCTCAACCACACAGACGGTATTCGTGCCAGTGGCAATGTCATAGTCGATACGGTCGACCAGCTTGCTTCAGTGTAGTTTGTGGTTACCTTTTTCTGCAGAAGTCGTACCTAAGGTGTCCCCAAATCGCTGCTGCTCATGAACATCGATCAACGATGAGCTTGAAGCATACAGTTATTAAAACAACGGCCATAACCGAACACTGCGTTGGTTCAGCGGAGAGATGGGAGGAAGACAGACCCTACTGCAGCTGATGGCTCAACACAACTAATTATTTTGCTGAAGTTATACATAAATTTACACATGTATGGCCGATAAACAGTCCCTCGATCGTCCGGGTGAGTACTACCGCCCAAGCCTAAGGCATGCATTAGTGGTTCGCCAATGAATAGCTCTGGACTGAACTGCCAGTTTGTTCGTTTGTATTCACTTCTACCTTATGTTTTTTGTGAACCGTACTATAGTGTATTGAATTTTGTTGGATTGCATTTAATCGTAGTGTTGAAATCTACTCCATTTGCTTGGGTTCGATGTAGTTCGATGGTTAAGTCACGAAATTACAGACCGGAAAGTTCGTGTTTCCATTCAAACTCCGGCATCTCGACTGCTCCTGTCTGGGTTTTGGCAACCAGGCAGTATCTCGGCCCTAGTGTTTATTTCGGCTGGCATGGCGGCCAAGCACCGAAAAAGTGTTACAGATGGACGACTTATTCTATATGCTTCTATCTGTGTTCGTGTCTTAGGTACATGGTGACACTGGACATTTTTTGGGCGTTAAATCCACAGAGCTGTCACCATAATGGTTCAAACCAAGATGAATAACAGTCAATGCGAGCTTGCCTATACCTGCGCCTGAGCAGTTGTGCGGACCACCAGATAACTTTTGCAATTCACTATAGGTCACAACTGTTCAGTTTTCCTCATTCTATTCGACAAACTTGGGCCACAAGTTGGGCCAGAGTAAACAGCGAACCGGTGAAGTCTCCTCAAACGATAAAATGAATGTGAGGATCGGTGGACATAACACCAATCACTAGAATGAGGCTAGTAAGCTCACCTGTAAAAGACGTGTGAGTTTGCTTTCCCTGTAAGGCACGTGAGGAGTACGATCCACCAAAGCAGTAATCACCCGACCCAATGTTAGCAAACTTTGGTTAATCGAACCGGCTTCGCGAGCGCGTTTTTCCACTGCCCCAGACCGCCCGATACTTTCGCTCCCAGCAAGATCGACCAAATGTAACTTTCCAATCCGCAACAACTCTTCGCCCGTGATAGGGTTGCTCTCTTTGATGTGAACCGTTACAGTGAATATAGAGTGGGAACGGCTGTGGAAAGATTAAGGAGTAGCGAATAAACGAGAAAAGAAGAGACAACTACAAACCTTGATTGGGCATTTAAAAGTGTCGATGCTGTTTGGCGCCTGGCCAACCCACGCTCGATGACGGCATGTACATTGTCCTTGTCCAGTACTACGATTTCCCGCAGTCCCTTTACAATCACTGATCCCTTTCTATTGACATCGTCGTATATTGTCAGTCGGTTAGCCTCCGTGACCGACAATAAATCGAAAAGTTCTTCGTTGTAGACTTCGAGAAACGAGACTCGAACGGAAAAGTCTGCTCCCTGAAAAAATCATAATTAGTGGAGGAAAATTAAACAAAAACAGACAGTCTGCTGGAGGGTTTCAAACAAATGGCTCAAGGCTCGCGGTATAATGCCAACCAGAGGATCGCTCTCCCAAGCGTAGCGTAGTTTATCCGAACGTTCACCAGTCATTGTGAATGTCTTCCCACTGCCTGTTTGGCCATATCTACATACAATAGCATCTTTGTTAGGATACGACTGAACACTTACGCAAATATGGTACAATTATAGCCCATCAGTATTTCCTCGACGACAGGCTTAACCATGGCATTATACACCTCGATCTGATTCACATAAGGGTGGAAAACATGGTCGAATGTGAACACTTTGGATGTCGAACGATCTTTTACTGTGACTTTGTCCCGGGAACAAGTGACACAACTCAGTGCCCCCTTTTCTTGCTCCTGCTTGTTGAGTGGCCTTGAGGGAGAGAACAGTCAAGGGAAAAAATCAAACATACCGGCATCGGACAGCGACTTTGATATTCTGTTGTGCCTGTTCGCTCGGCATTGTGGCAACCAGCGGAATAAACCACTTCCGTAGAGTGACTTGTAGTTTCGGGATACTCGACCTTCAACTTCCTATATGAATATATATATATATATATATACATATAATCTAAAGTGGAAAAGGTTATAGCTTTTTAAAGGTTGCAGCTATCACATGGAACACTTGTGATAAAATAATCTTCGTTGCGGTTGTCTTAAGACAGGGTAGACGAGTGCGCTGTAGCCAGTCCTGAATCGATTTGGGCAACCTGAATTCGATGCAACGTAATTTCGACTTCGGAGAACATCGACGTCAGGTGGCACACCGAATTTCTGATGGGAATACTTAGAGCTGGCTTAGATTAACTTGATATGATTTTCCCCGTCACGAAGAGACTGGACCTTACCGTGGTGTGATGGTTTGCGCACCTCAGCGATCCACTGAGCTATACTGGAGAGTGTCCCGCGACACTCACAGAGTCTCTCATACCAGGTTGGTCAATGGTTAGAGGTCTGACGAACACAGTCTCCTGGCCCTCCAGGTTGGGGGTTGAAACATGTGGCGACTTGTTCCGTAGAAATGGTAATGCATTTGCATTTCCCGCCAAACACCGCTACCTTGCGGTTAGGCTTTTGAGCCAAAGACTTTGGTTGAGGACCCTAATCGTCCTCCTGCCTAGGTGTGGGCGCCCTGGCAGTATCCCAGCCCACGTACAACCATGAATTGCACATACACAAATAAACTCATGCCACATCGGCCGTCGCGTGGTGCCATCAGCCGGGTCGCCTTACTTGCTGCATACAGCAGGGCGGGTAAGCGAAAACAGGCTACTGCTGACGCCTCCCTTCTTTCTCCTTCACACACTTTTTCTTCCCCCCTCTCCCCACCCATTGATAACTCTCTCCTTGTAGACCCAGCACTTAGGACTGATGACTCCGTTCGTCATGCATCGGTTTTGCGTGCAGCCTCCGCTCGTCACATGGTACCGAGATCTTCAGGAATCTCCAAATCAGTTCTCAAGCCTCGACGCCCACTCTATCTGGCCGCGTTCAATGTTCGCACTCTGAAGCAAGCAGGACAACAAGCTGCTCTTGCACTCACACTGGACTCGCTTGGCATTGATGT